ATACCTGTGAGGTTGGAAGAGGACATCAAATCCCCTGGAACTGGAGTTATAGGCTGTTGTACGCCACGAGATGTGTGTGCTGGGAACTGAACTCAGGTCTTCTACAAGAGCAGCAAGAACTCTTAACTACTGAGCCATATCTGCAGACTCAGATAATTATTCTTAATAGGTGATATAACGTGATGACAAGTGCCTTTGCTTTGTCCCCACATCTATTAACACTCTGTTGCATTCATCTTCTCTTCCAACCTCTATTCCTTCTTCATTTCCTAGCCAAGCCCCTGGGAAGAGGACTTATTCTCAGTCTTTCCTTTTCACACCTTGTTCTTCTTTAATCCCCTACAACTAGTTACTTTCCACCCTGCGTCTCCACTGATCATGTTTCAGCTCTCTGGTCCTAGCATCCACTTGAGACTTTTTTCCCAAGCTCATGTATTTACTGGCTATTTCCTGTATTTACTGGCTATTACATGGTACTGTTTCCTAAAATAAATAGTCTCTCCCCTCCCAAGACAATTTCTCTGTTATCTCCCTGAAGAAATGGTGTCCTTAGCCAGAAACAGATGTCATTGCATAGTGCTACTTTTCTAGTAAACCTTCTAGTTTTTCATTGAGTTCAATCAATTGCATTTTTAATCATTCGGATTGACCTCCCTTCTTCCCTGCTGGCAATGCTTTAGGGCATATCTCAATTATTTCTTACTTTGTGACATATGTCTTTTCTACACATATTCTCTCGTGCTTCCAGAGTAATCTTTTGAAAGTTATAAATGTCTTATGGAACTTCCTTAACTATTTTTTTATCATGCTGGAGATTGATCTGAAGGTCATGTGTTCTATCAGTAGCTCCATCCCCAGATCTTGATTTTTTTTTTGAGACAGAGTACCCTAAATAGCTCAAGCTAGCCTTGAACTCATGATCTTCATGCCTCTGTCACTCAAGTTTTGGGATTCCAGGTGTGTACCATCATGACCGGTGCACCACTTAACATTTTTTTCTTATGACTTCCCATAGCAGTGAGAGGAAAATCCAAACTCCTTAGCATGACCTACAAGGCCCTCTGTGGCCTGGCTCCCTCCTGCTTTTCTGCCCTCACTTCTCCCTTCTTGCCCTTGTGCCCCACCCCCCGACCCTGTGTGTCCTCCCTACTCTGCAATGAGGTTTTGTCCATCATCTTCACTTGGTTTGGAAGGTCTTTTTTCACCACTTTGCTGCTGGCCTTTCAAACTCCTACCTGTCTCTCAGGACTCAATTCAGACACTAACTCTTCAGGAGTCTTGTGTGATGGAGCCCCTCTCAACTAGGTGGAATCTTCTTCTTTATGGTGCCCGGTCTTGCAACAGCCATGGTGTAAAGTTATCTGTTTAAGTTCTCCCCACAAGCACCATACTCTGAACTTGGAGCTTCTACCCAGAGTAGCAATCATCATCTATAGACCTAACACAGTTTTGGATACACAGCAGTTCAATAAAACTTGCCAGATCATTTGAAGAAGCACACCATAGAATACTGCCAGAATATATTAGATTAATTTGGTGCCTGATGGGCAGAACCAATGATTAATTTCTGCAGAAAACCATCTGACTGGGCCCTGTGTTCTTGGCGTTTCTTTTCTTGCTGTATCTGTCAATATGACAATGCAATGTTGATCTAAAAGTATCCAGACCTTCAATTGAGAGTTCTTTGAGTTTTACTTAGGTATGTATATAGACTCAGAGGACCATAGTAGTCCTCACTTAGATTTTAGTAAGTTCTGGAGGCAACTGTGAGACCCTCTGCTGTTTGGGGAAGTTTGGGCTAAATATTATATTGCAGCTCATCCATATTTTCCAGATGAAGAGCTAGGTTAGCTCTTCCCATCACCAACTGCTAGACTTTTACAAACATAAACCTGAATGTGTGTTTATATATACTTATTTTCTTTCTAGGAACCATGAGTTCATTTTTGGGGAAGAGACACAATGCAAATATACATATTTTCTTGCCATTTGGTTATGAACACCACTATACTTTGCTACTTTGGTGAGTGGGGAGCTGCTGGGGATGGCACACAGGCTAGGCAAGCTGTCTACCACCCAGCTACAGCCCCACCCCAGTTTTCAGTTTTAGAACAGCGCCCATTCCAGGGCACATGTGCACCCCCCCCCCAGGAACACTCCTTGCTTACTTTCTTTCCCCGAAGAGAAGTACTCTTGGACAGAATCATAGAGGCCAATCCTGAGCGAGGCAAAGCTGATCTGCCTCTGAATTCCTGCTGGCAGCCCGCTGTACAGTTTCATCAGCCCTTCGGTTCTTGCCAGAGTGGTAATTGTTCCCAGAACACCTTTATACCTAATGCCACTGGAGATCTGGCTTTCACCTTGGATCTGGAAGTGAGAAGGGGGAGTGGTCAGAGAGAAGTGGACATTCAGTAAGGAAAAAAGTTCTACCTGGTGAGGAGTATAGAAGATGGGCACCTACAGCCTGCAGAAGCCCTAGACCAGGCTTGCCCGCTGGGCTCTTTCTATGAATTTCCCTTCTCAGCAAGCTCTCCAGCACTCCATCCTATATTTCCATGTGCATAGGCTACAGTGCAGCCTCTGAATATCTAAACAAAACACTCTTCAGAGCTCATAGATGCAGGTTGGGACAGTACCCTGCAAAACCAAAGAAAGAAGTGTGGAGCTTGTGAATTAGGAGGGGTCTGTCTAGTTCTAAGAACATTCAGGGCACCCTAGTCTTTGAAAGACTTGGCAGAGGTCAGGGTCAACCCAGCACCTTGGTTCATCAGCTAATCCTGGAAAGGGATAGTGAAAAGGGGTAGCATTTCCCATCCTAATGCTCCCACTTTTGAAACAGCTAACAGGTTGGAAAATCCGCAGATATCACAGGAATGCCCGCAGCTGATCCCTCTCTGCAGGGAGAACCCCCTTGACCACGCCATGGGTCTCTACCTGGAGCCGGACTTTGGCGGTGTCCAGCGGGAAGGTGATGATATCGGCTAGGCAGGCAGCCACGCCGGCTGAGAAGATCTTGACCCCCAAGGTGGGGGCCGCTTCCGAGGTTGTCGGGCTCACCATCTTCGCTCAGAGTATTGAGAGAGGCGCGGGTGCCAGAGCAAAAGGGCTCAGCTGGGAAGGCGACAGTGGCTTTCCTCCCTCAGTGCGGCCGGCGCAGGCACCGATCTCAGACCCCTGGGATGGCCACCCGGAGGTGGAGGCTGCCGCGGAGCGCAGCAGTGAGCGCTGAGTCTGGCCGCGTCCCTTCCTGGTTCCCCGGCCAGGAGGACCAGCTGCGCCCCGGTTGCCGGGCACCTCTGCTCCTCTACCTCGGACAGGGACCTATATAGCCTGATCGCTGAAGGAGGGGCCATGGGAAAGTGGCTGGCCGTGGCCAGGTCTCCCAAGGTCCGGGAATGGGACGCGGCAGGGGCGTGCCCTGGGTGCGGGAGACTCCCACCGCATCCCCATCCAGCGTCGGAGGAGTCACTCCGGAAGCCCAGGCAGGCACTTTGCGGTCTGCACCCAGCATTCAGGGTCACCTGGAGGACGCACTGTGGGAATCTCCCAGGTCCCGGTACACGTGGTACCTCCTGTCACTCCAGCTGTGCAGTCTCAGCTGGGGCAGAGAGCAGGGGCTGGCTCCCGCTAAATACGTGCTATCTCAGAGATCCTGGAACTTTCTCAGTGGGATGCTGATCCCAATCCTAGGCCTCCAGGAGCACCCAGCGGGTGCTCAGCAGCCCTCTCTGTCTTCTTTTGATTTCAGGTAGCTCCTTTCTTTACATTCCTTTCCAAATATCAACTTCACTTGGGGGCGGGGAGCTAGGGGAGGACCCCATGTGAAAACTTTTTAAAGTGTTTTGTGTGATTTCTTTTTAAGGCAGATGTTAAAAGAGATAGTAGACAAACTAGCAAGCAACTATACCAAGTGAAATATCCCTTCATCCTTTTAGGTAGCTCTTAGGGAGAGCACAGGAAGGATGCAGAGGTAATGGGCTTGGCTGCAGATTCAGTTGTGCCACGTGACCAACTCCAGTGACCTCAGAAAGTCATCTTTAGCCCAACTTTCTTTTGAACTAGGTGAACCGTGGCCCTGGAGCTGGCCCGGGTTTGAAATCCTGCTGCTGTAAATTCCTCTACTTCAAGTAACAAATGAGCGCTGGAGCATGGGTTAGTTGTGGGAAGAGGAGTTTTTCCTTTTTTCATTGAGTAAATATTTATGAGTATTTATTTGAAAAGCTTTTAAAATGTGAGAAACGTGAGAAACGTGAGAAATCATAAGAACTGAAGAATGGAAAAAGATTAGGCCAGGTCTCCCAGGGCCCTTAGAGACACTGAAGAGCCTTTCGGTGTTACCCACATTCTCCCTCAGCAACTTGGTTCTGCTGCTCCACATGGACCAAAACGGTAAATGAAGGTCAGATCCATCTCTGGAGGTGGGGGGTCGGGGGAGCATGTAAGACTGAAAGCTTCTGGATGGCAGTTTCCAAATCTGTGGGAAAAAGCAGGTGTGCTCTGCAAGAATCCCCTGTTGAGGAGCTTCCACAGTAGCTCAGGCTTGGGGGAGCTTCACCCAGGAAAGCAGTGAGGACCATGGGTAAGGACTGAATTACCAGAGAGGAGGGGGAAGGCAATGTTTCCTCCCTCCAAACACCTTTAAGACAAAAAGCAGCTGAGGCAGGTCAGTGGCATGTGTGAAGGCAGCCTGGGGTGGGGGTGGGGGTGGGGGGCAGAATGCACTGTACTGAGAAAGTGAGTGATAGGGAGAGAAGAGGGGCAGTGAAGAAGTTACTAAGAGGATGAAAAGCCAAATAAAGAGCAGACTGTGAATACCTACTCTGAATGTGGATTCATGTTATCACTCCATGGCTGTGTGGAGCTTGACAGACTAATGTGCTCTCACATAACTGACGCATTTAATCTGATAATACAGCTTTAGGAAGGGTTAGATGTGAGTCAAACTGTTCAAAGATGACTATAAGTTTAAGAATACAGTAGCAGGCTCAGTGATCTCAACTGATTGTCACAAGGCAGTAGGTAAGAAGAGGTAATTTTATAGTCTTCATAAGAGGATGATACCTTTTAAAGTCTTGGAATTACTTCGACAGAATAGTGTTATTATTTTGATAAAGAGATACCATAGGAAACCCATACCACTTGAAGGGATATCAGAACATGAAGATGCTTGAAAGTTGGCAGTATGAATATGAGGACAGGGAAACTGTATATGGGAGTGTCTACAATAGGAGTGGCAAGAGAATGAAGGGGAAATCATAAGGAAACCCAGAGTTACAGTCTATAGTTTATTAATGGTATAGTTAGGACAGTCTTACCACCTGACCTTTGAGAATATGATCAAAGAAGGATTGACCAGAGTCAAGAGAACCAAATGAAGGAAAATCAATTGGATTAGGGAGTACAATTACAGTAGAGGTTTCAGATTGTGAGCTTGATGGTCAAGCAGAGATTAAGAATGTCATTATAGCTGGGTGTGGTGGCACATGCCTTTAATCCCAGCACTCTGGAGGCAGAGGCAGGTGGAGCTCTGTGAATTCAAGGCCAGATACATAGCAAGTTCCAGGCCAGCTGGGGCTACAGGGAGACCCTGTCTAAAAAAAGACCAAAAAATAAAATGAAATAAAAATTTGAAAAGAATGTCATTGTAGACCTGAAATATTTATTTATTATTTCTTGCTCACTCCAGTGACCCTTAGCATCAACTAGCTCACTTCTATCTGAGGTTTTTTCAACAAAGAACTGAAAATTCATGGCATTTATCCTATTTAAAAAGCCTGAGGGGCCATATCTCTTTCTCTTGCATCTGGCAGTCTTGTGAATGCTTTGACCAGTAGAATAAGATAGAATATATTCTGTCAGACTTCCAAGCCTGGATAATTAAAAAAGGAAGTTTCTGCATTATTCACCAGAACATGTATTTTTGGAGCCCTGGATCACCAAGTAAAAAAAAAAATCGAACATCCTTGAGGCAGTCATGCTGAAGAGGCCACACATTGGCCTTTCTGTTGTTCCTCACCAAGACAGCAGCCATTCAAGTGCAGCCATCCTAGACCCTCCAGATAGTCAGGTCGACACACCAAATCATCTCTGTTGATGTTAGAACAGAAGATCACACAGCTGAACATTGCCTAAATTCCTGATCCATGAAAGTGTGAGCTATAGCTTGGTATGATGTTGCACACCTGCAATTCTAGTTCTTGGGAAGCTGAGGCAGGAGGATCTTGAGTTCAAAGCCAGCATGGGCTACCTGGTAAGATCCTGTCTCAGAGAAAACAAAACAACAAAATAGTGAGATAAAATAAAATAGTGGTCTTAAGGTAGCATTGGATAACTAGAATTGCCTTTGTTTGGCAATTTGGGAAAAGCATGAGCTGTGGTTACCCCGTCTTCTAACCCTACTAGGCTTCATGAGGAGGTGTTAGATATAGTACATGTATATTGAGTTTTATAATTTGGACTATAAAAGGGATTAATAACACATTTATGAATAAGAAACAGGATATAGTAAATGCTTATTTTGTTTCCATAAAGCACATACTTGCCTGTGTAGAGTATGATGAACTAGAGAATGGAGCAGAAGAACTATAAGATGTGACAGAAGTAAAAGGCACAAATCTGCTAGAAAATAAGAATGGTCTAGCACAGTTAGGGGCACACAGGGAATGAGGACGAGGGAAACATGAAGGGACTGACTTCCTTGAGGCTGAAGGATGACAGCATGGTCTCCCAGGTTGTTAAAACTAAGCAGGAAGTAGTCAGGCAAGAAACTTCTCTAGGGGACTGTCAAGTTAGAGCAATCGTGGCTGAGCACCTGCGATGTGCTGGGAAGGATGCTGGTCTTGAAGGTCAGAGGACAAGCTGAATGCAAAGCTCCTACAAAGAGACCACCCCATGAGGTCAGTCACTGAAGTTCAAGACAGGGAAGAGTTCTGGACTCGAAGAAGCGGGTTGACCTTGTTGCCTCCAAGAGCCTCTGGGAAGTAGGAGAAAGTTTGTCTCAGGTTGGAGAGAGAAGTAGGGGAGAGGCTGGTATCCCCAGAGAGTCAGATTTCTGCTCTTCTGGCACAAAGAAGTGGAGAGGTGAAGACTGCTGCAGTGTGAGCAAGGGTGACAGGCACTTGGTGACGTCACAAAGGAGTGGCGGCAAGGTCCAAGTGAATCAAGTTCCCATGTTCCCCTTTTAAAATTTAGACCACCATTTACAAAGGCACCTGCACAAACTGTTGTCACTCAGGGATCACAGAACGCATGTGCTCATTTGAAACACAAAAAGCTTGATGATGCTTTGCACTTGAACAGCGTTCTACACTCTCCTATAATTTCTCATTAGTCACCACTGGGAATGCTCAAGTGACAGGCAGAACAATTTACAAAAGAAGAAATTCAGAGTTTAAACATGTGAAGAGATATATTTAATTCTACTAATGAGAAAAATTCACCTTCCATTTAATAACACCTTTTCTCTACCAGTCTTACAATTATTATAACACGTTTTAAGTTTTAGCATTAGAAATATAATTAATTATTCATGGTATAATTGAACTTATGAATGCTAGAATACAATATCAGTGCTATGTTAATCACAGCATTATAAATTGACATAATTGGTTCCGACCTCCATTGGTATACTGGCTCTGATCTCACCAGACCACCAGAGTGCCAAGTTCTGGCTTCCCTCTGGCCTCCCTCTGGCAGAGGGCCTGAGAACGCAAGGAAAGGCCTGAGAGCGCCAGGATCCTGCCTCCATGTGGTGGTGAGCTTCCCCTAATTGTGCCATACCTATCCCCCTATCTGGGATTTCTTGAGGCCCCTCTCCAGGCCCCAGGGCAGATCTGGCTTTGGTAGCTAAGGCTGAGATCCTAGCAGACAGCCTGAGTGGGTGGGCTTCAACCTCCACTGGTGTAGCAGCTCTGATCTCAGCAGACCACCAGAGAGTACCCAGTTCTGGCCTCCCTCTGGCCTCCCTCTGGCATAGGGACTGAGAACACAGGGGACTACCTGAGAGCACCCGGATCCTGACTCCACATGGTGAAGGAAGCCTGAGTGTACCTGACTGGAAC